AATTTCGTCGTCTTTTATTCCTGATAAGACAGATGGTTTTTTGTTGCTAGTTCCACTCTATTTTTCATATAAAATGAAAATGTATTAGGTGTTCGAGGACCTTTTTCTTGCCCCTTATCCTCTTCTGGTTCTACGACTAACATATGACATCAAGATTGGAGAACTAACCTATGGCAATTATTCTCTTCTCCCTTGATTCCCCTATTTCCCTTTTTCCAGCATTGTTTTACCTTCTTTGGCTTTCTTTTTCGAAGCATATAATTTCCTGTTTATCGTATTGATTATATTTCTCTTCTCAGCTACTAGGAGAACCAGGAACTGGTGGGTCATCCACTCCATCAATGGTTGGTGCTGTAAAAAAATGGCAAAAGTCTGACCCTGAGAAATCCCTGGACACATGGATAAGATTGTCAGAGGCAAATTCAGCATTGGAGGTGCAACTGAACTTGTTAAGAAAATTAGCAAAGGAACAATGGGATGCATATAAATCTGTGATTGAGGGCTGCAGCATTCTTAGATCAGACAAGGTATTTCTGTGAGATCTTTAGGGGTTGTTTAATTGACGGAAGTAATTTTTATAACCACAATTCTTGTGCAACTAATTAAATTGAGAGCTGCAGCATTCTTTTTATTTTTTTTTCATGATTTAGGACGTCTTTATTGGTTAGACTTTTATACTTGTTACTTTTTCTGGGTCTGAAAAAGATGATGTCAAGCATTTTCTGTCTAGAGCTACCCCATAAAGGAGTAAAGAAGCTTATTTGCATATGTCGTTAATTCATTATAGGTTATCAGGATTGAAAAAAATGTCTGAGGATCTGAGTCTAGGCAGATGTAGTGTTGGATCAAACTTAATGTGTGAATATCCTTATTGTACCTCTTGACCTCCATACTGTTAAGTTTCAAGATTCTTCATATATTGTGACATTTCTTCTTGCTTTTCTTCTGTTGTATTGATGTTTGAAATGCAAATTGAATAACCAGTGGATTGAACAAGCCTCTGAACCTAATAAGGGAGCAGTTATTCAAGCACTGCTAGGTGCAAAAGATGCTATGCTTGGGATTAGATATCACATGCGTCTAATGGGTGAGGCTGCAGGTGTTCCAGTAAGTTCATTTCACTCATTGGGTGCTTATTTTTATGGTTCTCTGTTGGTATGATGATGACTTCGCTTATAAAAGTGCATGTCCAAGGAGTATATGTTACTCATGTGAACTTGTTTTCTGATTGAAATTTAATGCCTTTGCTTCATCCCTTAACAAATCTTTAGTTAGTACATCTCTTATATTCCAGTGGAATAGGAATGATCATTAACTAAGTTGTACAATTTAGCTGGAAATTCTGCATGCCATCCTAAGATCCCAAAGGGATGGGCTAAATTTGGATATGCTCATATATGCTTATTGAGCATATCCACCAACCGTTGCAGCAATACATGTTTTTTTTTGGGGTGATATCATCCTAGTTGGAGAATCCAGACAGAAATTAAATGAGAAGCTACAAATGTGGAGACAAGCTTTAGAAGCATGTGACTTTCGTATAAAATTTCTGAACTAATAACATAACACGAAGTCAAATTTTTTTTAAATTAATTCGATATTTTTATTGTATGAATAGATTTTCTACTAAAATAATTGGTATAAAATATTTTTTTACCATAAAATGAAAGCCCCTTTTTTATAATTTTTTTAAGTCAAACTAAGACAGAGTATATGCAGTATAAGTTTAGTAAGAGGTGGACAAACTCTATTGTAGAGGTAAAGGTTGGTGACCATTCTATACTAGAAATTACTAGATTTAAATATCTTGGGTCAATCATACAACATGTCAAAGAAATTGAGGGAGACATAAACTATAGGATTCAATCGGAGTGGATGAAATGACAGAATGCATCACGTGTCATATGTGATAGAAATGTGTCATCGAGTGTAAGAGAAAAATTTATCGCACAAGTATAAAACCCGCAATTTTATATGAGACTGAATGTTGGGCATTAAAATGTTAACGAAAGAATAAATTCAATGTAGCAGGATGAGTGGACATACTAGACAAGATAGGATTAGGAATAAATGCATTATGGAGAAATTTGGGATAACTCCTACTGTAGATGATTTGAAAATGTGTGGAGGAGACCGTTAGAAGCCTCAATAAGGAAAGTAGGTCAATGAAGGTTAGTCCAATTTCTAGAAGCAAAAAGGAACCAAGAAAAACCATAGACGAAACGATTAGAAATATTTAGAGATCAATGTTATGTCAATTGGCATGACTTATGATAGAGCATTATAGTATCGTCCGATCTATATGGTTAACCCAACCCAGTACTAAGTTTGGTTGTTGTTCTATAATGATCATGTTAAAAATGAAAAAATATCATGCATTGTACTAATACACTGTCAAACCCTGGATTGGAAGTTTCCGATAGTATTTTTGTACCATCATATGTGCTTGCTTACTCCTGTTGACTTAGAGACGGCAATTTATGTGCTGCATAAACAATTTCTTTAATCATGTATCAGATCATTTAATTGGAGAAAGTAATCACAAAATAAGAGAAAGAAGTTCAGTTAAAAAATGCCTTATCTCAACATGTTTATTTTGAATACAATCTAGACTGTTTTATGGGGCTACAAATGCTCTCTCTACCTGAATGGTTTTCTGGTTTACTAATCTCTATTGAAGTGTAGTCACAGAGGGTTGATAGGAGAAACTCACATTTGTTTTCCTGATTGATTAACGATTTAAAAAATTAACAAATTTATGAGTTCATCAGTTTTATAAGTTGCAATGTATACAGATTGAGCCAGAATCACAGACACAACTTCTAGATGCTACAATGAACTTGGAAGGTGTATTGTTGGCTGGAGTTCCAGGAGCAGGAGGATTTGATGCAGTCTTTGCTGTTACTTTGGGAGATTCAAGCAGCAATGTGACAAAAATATGGAGTTCATTTAATGTTCTTGCCTTGTTGGTTAAAGAAGATCCTTTTGGAGTTTCTTTAGAAAGTGCTGACCCGCGAACCAATGAAATCACATCAGCTGTCTCTTCAATTCATATTGAATAAGCTCATTTCCAGATATTGTAAGTCACCACAATTTATTCAGTCAAATGTGCCTTTTAGGCTAGCAATCGATTTAGGGGAGAGAAAAATGAGAGTATGAATTGAAAATTAAGCTGTGGTTAGGTTTTTGTGAAGGTGTGCCCCATCAAATATGTCTGGAGTTCTAAATGAGCAGTATAGCCATAAGAAGAAAATAAGTGTATCATCAAAATTTCTAAATTGTTGATTAAGATCTTTTCATATTCTAATGTGCCCAAGTTTCTATAACCGATTGAGAGAATGCATTAAATAACTGAACCGAAATATTTTTTCCTCAACTTCATTTTCTCCCCTTTCATATGGTTTCCTTTCATACTGCCTCTATATTACATGGGGTGTATAATAGCAATATCATTGGCTTCTATAGGACAGTTGGCAGTCATAGAAACGTTTTATTTGCATATGAAATGAAATTTACAAGTCACAAAAAAATTGTGTGCCATGAATGGGTGGAATTGGAAGTGGTGGTTAGAGGAACAAATTTTCCTGGGATGGATTTTTAGGAGCTTCTATCTGTTTTCGTAGACAAAGGAACTGTATGACTCAGGGACACAAACTAGGTATGGATTTGTGCAATTTAAGCATAAAAGAATAAATGAATACAGTATTTATTATCAACAGCATATAGCAAAACTTTTAGAGTTTAATATCTATATATTGTGAGTGTAAAGTCTTTTATATAGTACATCATTCATTAATCATTTGTATTACTTTTATTTAAGAGTGAATAATAGATAACACATGTATAATGTTGTGTCAAAAAAACACTTACACTATCACACTTTCAGATATTAAACTCAAATTTTTATGCCTCCCCACGCATAGCATATTATAGAGAAATAACCATTCACCATTATGTGGTAGCACTATACAATTTAATATGCAACTGCTCATAAATATGCACACCTTGAACATCTCTGAACTCACAAAGAGAAGAATACAACAAGGCCAAATTAGCAAAGATGAGACCAGCCATTCAAGTTTTAGCAGCTTGGAGCTCATCAATGAGCATGGCCAGTAAATGTTTTAAAACAATTCTCGCCAGGAACGCATTCTGCTACTAAATTCCCATAGTAGTGAGTATATTTTTTTCTCTCACATACTTAGAGCTAGCATTTGATTCACATTGCTTTATTTAAGAAGGCTGATAGTTGGTGTTTCTGCAAATCCTTATCCCAGTCAGTGAACTCATGTTGGAAATTGGCCACAACCTTAATAAAATTTGTTCATCAATTCAGATTAAGATTTTCATTGTCTACCCGAAAACTGCTACACTCTGCCAGAGCCTTTTCATTGAGCTCTCTACTATATCTCCAGACATAATTTAGACCCACAAGAAGCTCAGTGATTGTTTCTTCTATCTTTTCTTGATTTGCAAAGTAAAGGGTTTGTACCAGTAGCACATTTGTTCGCGAAACAAAGCTATGCTGCTCAAAGCTTCTCTCAGACTGCCATCTTATCATGTTATGAGCAAGTGGTGCCAACCATTCCAATATGCTTGACATTGCTTCAGTCCATTCTTCTGCGAGACTTGTGTCATAGACTGTTGTCTTGGTATATGGCTTTAACTTTTCTCTAAGGGTGGCTCTCACATGTCTCGGTAACATGTTGAATAGGTCATCTCTTGCATCAAGGCCGATCAAGTGTGGAGAAGTAGCTAGCTTCTCAATCACAATGATAACATTTGCATAGTGCAGTGCTAAAGCAGCAGCACCAAGTGTTTCAGGTGGAGGATTTAATAGCTTGCAAAGAGATTTGAAGACGGATTGAGTATGATGACGAACTAAATTTCCAGGAGAAAGAAGATTCGAATTAGCATCTCTGAGTTTCTGAATTCCTAAATGAACACCATTTGTGTTTGAGTGGCAGTCAATAACAGAAGAACTGTCCATACCATTACATCCTTTGAAAGGTCCTACTTGAGTCGGCCGGCTGAGTCTTGTGTGACTTCCCTTCCAACTTGGGGATGCCGAGTGTCCATAAAACTTCCAAAACTTGCTCTTCTTATTTGTTCCAGTAACTGGGACTGATTGTTTTGAAGTCCTCCCAAGAGGCCCTGAGTGAAAATTGGCACTTGTATGCTTTCCTGAAATTGGACTTGACTTTGTCGATGAGCTACCGAGAGGACCTGAATGAGAAATGCTGGTCTTATTTGTTCTACCAATCGGACCTGATCTAGCAGTAACAGCATTAAGGGGTCCTGAAGAGTATCTGACATTATTATTCTGTGACTGGACTGGAAGTTGCAATAATCCAGAAACCGATTGACTTCTATAAATAAAGTCCAAACTCAAGGCGCTTGAATTTTTGGTTCCACCAACATCTACCATCTCTTGAATTCCGAATAATTGGTTGATCTTGCAGAATATTGTGAATAAGGATCGTGCTAAAAGAAGTACAATGTAATCAAAAGTCCTGTTCCATAGAGAAATATCTTTCAAGTTCTTCACCTCCTGCCTCTTCCATGCAACCTTCTTGTGATACTCAAGTAAATTTACACCATCTGACTCACCATTAGCCCTCATTCTTGTAAATGTTTGCTCAAGATCAGCAAGCATTTCCATCTCTTGATACAAACTTGCATTACTTGATATAAACTTCTCCATCTTTTTAATCTTTCTTTCCATCTTCTTGTAATTGTATTCCCACCCATATGGATCAACACCCGTTGTGATAAACTCGTAAAAGGCATTCTCAAAACCTTTCAAACAAGGATTGCTGCATTTCTTCCCAAGCCTAGCCACAGATTCAGCCACATGAGCCATATTCTCAAGTATCTCGACACAGATCAAACGTTCAATGAAATGCTCATCATCTGAAACAAGCTTTATTATGCCCTCTGAACTTGAGATCTCCTCTTTCAACTTCACAATCTGTTTATCAGTCAGAGACTGCCATAAAATAACCAGCTTGGACATCAAGCTGGCCACTTCAAATGCTAATACTCTAATAAACACCTTCTCAGAATTAGCATCATGCTTTCGAGGAGGCTTCCACAGACTGCGAAACCATGATTCTGCAACCATCGCTTACCGAAGAACAATACTAAAACTCTGCTCTTTAAGACAAGCCCTCAGTCATGGTTCTGTAGTGGGCAGCAAATAAAACACAGAATAAGGTTATTAAATATCTAATACAGTTAGCAAAAAATTTCAACCTGTATCAAATATTCAGATTCTCAGTGCAAATACCTCGAACTTAAGACTGCAAAGATATTACGCAGTACTACAACAACAACCTAGCCTTATTTCCACTATGTGGAGTAATTTTATGAAAATGTATGGAAGGGAAACAAATTTTGATTTTGATAGGCACAAAATATGTTTATAATGTCATAACATATCTACTGTATCTTTTCTTTTACCTGCTTTCTTGACTATTTTGTTCCATGCAGTGGAAGAAGGACTAGAGGGGTTGGGCTTCTAATTAATTTTGGTCTATGCATATTGGTTTGGTCTTATTCATACTGGTTTGGTCCTATTTTATAGTATTGAAAATTTTACATGTTTCAAGCACAAAAATAGATTTGGGAAAATTAAAAGCATATGTTTTCCATTCAAACCAGTCAATCTTTGCTCCCATTTTGGTTTGTGGTTCAAAATCATTCCCCACATTAAGCATATATGATGCTTAGATTAACTACTGAAGCATCTTACAAATTACTGATTTAGCTCTTATTTTGCCTAATATTTGGAAGTAGAAAAATACAGCAGAAACAAAATACTAGAAGTTTGAAATGCATATTTTACAAAGATTGGTGAAGAAAGTGATTTGAGACTAAAAATAAATGAAGATATAATGCTCTCAATTTTGACTTGAGTTCTAGTTGGAAAAAGTTCTTAGATCAAAATAAACAAAGTCTGAAGGACCCCAGTTAAAATTCCCCTTTTAGGCATACTATTTTAATGGATATTTTAAATGCATGCATCAAATCATCAACAACAAACCAGTATAAACTGCCACTGCCTTTGAAAAACTTTACTTATATTACAGTACAAGCAAAAAATTGTTTATATTCTTCCTTGTTACAATTTCTGGTTTTTGTACCAGCTTTTTTCATTTCTGATGTATGGAAATACCTAATTGAGAAGCAAAAAGGAACATAAATTTCCTCTTCTAGCAAATATTGCTGAAGAATATATACTAAAAAAGGAAAGCCACATGACATAAAGCTAAATCTAGATTCTATTTTCTGTTTACTCATTCATTAAATCAATAATTAACTAAAATTCAAAGTTGAAGTAGACTGCATTTTTTTAGGTAAACAGTTCCATGTAATTAACAGTTTCACATTGCAATTAGAAAGGAAAATGACATGGATCTAAAACCCCATAACTAAATCCAAATCCTAGCAGCAAACCCAGATTTCGAAACCTTTATTCTTTGTTGGGCAGAGAATAAAAATCAAAACTTTACATGCTTTTTACTAAAGAACATACTTTTTATCACTTTACTAGCTCGTTTGCTTAAATGGGCATAGAAATTTACAAGTCAAAGCTCAAATCTTACTTGATAACATAATAAAGTGATTTTAAAAAGGGAAAAAACTCAGAAAAATATATGCAATGGAATCAAAGGAGACACAATATGAACATGAAGAAGCTGTAATGGAAAAGCAGAAACTCACCGATCAGAAGAAGTAGAAGCAGCTCAGAGAGAGAGAGATTGAAAAGTCCAGTTGCAGTAAGAGGAAATAAGGTGCACATGGGATTGAAAGGAAAGAAAAAAATGCAGAGAAACAGATAAAAAGGTAGTGAGTGACAGAAAAACAAAATTAAGTACATCATCCTAAGTTATTGCTTGTTTTTTTCAAATGGGCCCTTGTTTGTGTTTCATTTCTCACTCCCATTATTCTTATTTCATTTTCAATTATCATTCACTTTTGATATACTACTTTAGTATTTTATTATAGTGAATATAATGCTTCACTTTATAATATAATTTTTAAAGTTCATAACTAGACCTGTCAAAACGGGCTAAAACGGGCCGGGCTAAAAAGTCCGGTTATATTCTATGTTGCTAAAAATGAGGCCCAAACCCGCCCAAAGTGGGCTGCGGCGCGCTGACCCGAATTATTTTATTATTTATACCAATGCAAAAAACTGATGCTTTTAATATGTTGTAATCGATTACGAGTATATTGTAATCGATTACAACATATTAAAAGCATTATTTTTGCTGTTTTTTAAACAGTGTAATCGATTACACTGTTTAAAAAATAGCAAAACTGATGCTTTTAATGTGTTGTAATCGATTACTAGTATGTTGTAATCGATTACATCATGTAAAATGCATATGTCTGATTAGTTTATCAGCATGTAATCGATTACCAGGATTGTGTAATCGATTACACTGTTTAAAAAACAGCAAAAACTAATGTTTTTCATATGTTGTAATCGATTACGAGTATATTGTAATCGATTACGTCATGTAAAATGCACAAATAAGAAAAGCCAAATGAGAGGAAAGAAAATGAGTAGACAATGGCCCGAACCCGAACGGGTAAGCCCGGCCCGAGCCCGAATTTATTGTGGCCCAGCCGGGCCGGGCTAAAAAACCCGGTTTAACTAAAATACTCAAACTTTAGTACCCAAGCCCTATACCTTTTCGGGCCTTGGCGGACCGGCCCGCTATACCCGGCCCATTTTGACAGATCTATTCATAACCAATATTTATTATAAATTTATATTACCATTATGTTATAATTTTTTTCACGTAACGCTTACTATTAAACTAAATATCCCAAAAAATTGGTAGTTCGAGCCCACCCTAATAAATTCAACTTAAACCTGATTTTAATATAGTCCAATCAATATGGACTAAGAGTATGAATTCAATAAAAACTATTTAATATTATACACAATCCCCATGACTTTCAAGGCTTGGTTGGCGAGCCCACCTATTTTGAAGATTCTAGACCTATCCTATCAAAAAATCTAAATTAGAGAAAAAATATATTTATTATATTACTATTCATGTATTATAATTGTTGTTATTATTAAATTTTATAAAATTACAATGAATAATGTTATATTTTTTATACAATTGTGATATATATGACAAAGTGATATTTTTTTTTACAGATTGTTAGAATGACATATGATTTTCCAATTAGAATGGAGGAGTAATATAAATATAGGACTCCATTGTCGTGAAACCGAGCTTCTCATAGAGTAAAAAGAAACACTTTTTCTATTCATCTTTCTCTTTTACTCACTCGCTTCTCCCTCTGTCTCTCTCTCTCTTTCTCTCACTGTCACTGACCTTCACGCTAGGCAAGTTACTCCTCTTTCTCTCTCTTCCCATCACATTGATTACCATTAACTCTCACTTTCTTCTTTCATTCCTCTTTTTCTCTCCACAAAGTTCACACCTTTCTTCACCGATTTATCCCCTTCGTTTTCTTATTTTCTATCTTCCTCTTTTTTTGTTGCTAAACCTAGCATCTTGTGGTTTTTTCCGAAAACCCCACAACGAAAAGATTCTTTTTTTATCCACAACAAAAAGATTATTCTTTTTGTGGTTTTTGACGGTTCCCGATTGCACTAACATGTTTCAGCTTCTCATGGTGGTTTTTTAATCATATATATAGTGTGAAGCATACGTGAACTATTATTATATTGTATTATTTTATAGTTTTTTTGTTTTTTTGGAGGCAAGATTATAAGCCATGATTGTTTTCTTCTTCTTTTTGGTAATAATGAACTATATAATTTTGTATTGTTTCTTGAAACTAATATCAAACTGCAGATTCTTCTAAATCATCATGCTTTTATTTAATTTAGAGTTTTAGTATTAATCATTATCTCCACTACTTTAGTAGGCATAGGTTCTGTTCTTTAACTTTGTCAGTGAACAAAAGCCAAAACTTTATCATCAATAAAAAGAAAAGAACATAATAAAAGCAATCCCTTCCTGATTTGTTATATATGATTTGATAATAAATAGAGGTTCTTTTGCTTGGAATATAAATGTTGTTTTTCCCTTGGTGTCATTATGTTGTTTCCCCTTTATTCAGTGCTGTTTGGTATTGTAAGTACTGTGATTTTTTGTTTTCTGAGCTTAAATATAAGGGACCAGTTTTTGGTATTGGAGTTCTGATTATCACTGTTTAATTGAATTTTTGTGATGCTTATCATGCAGAGACTGGATCCAGTGAAGAAAAAGGTTATTCATGGCGGACGGCGCAGGAAAAGGTTTGGAATGCCAGAAGATTATGGATGGGAAGGCGAGTAACGGGAATGGAACGAAGAATGAAATTCCTTCCTGTTGTTTGAAGGCTAAATCTTCAGATCCTGAATTTGAGGCTAAGTGCCACTCCATTGTTGTTTCTGGGTGGTTCTCACCATCTCAAACTTGCTCTGGTCATTATCTGTTATTTAAAATTTTCAACATATATACCTTTTCACTGTACAATTTACTGTTATTCATTACTTTCTTCCACTTTATCTTTTTTATTACAGGGAAATCTGGGAAGAATGTTTACTTTAACAACCCAATGTGGCCAGGTGTGTGTTGCTCTTATGTCTGCACCATGTTTGTATTATATTGCATTATGACCATTGGATTGAGTTTTTCTTAAAATTACAGACCTTTAAAGTTATCATTCATGTCAGCACGACTGCACCATGATTGTTGCAAATTTCAAACAACAATGACCATTGTAGAGAACGCTGATCGGGAAAACAGTCCTTTTATGACATCAAAAATAGTTTTGGCTAAGCAGCCTTACCTTAATGTTTGATGTTAATGTATTCAACCTGCTCTCCTTGTTTGTATTAGGCCTTTATATCAATATCCTTTTTCCCGTTCCACTTATTGTATGAAATCTTTCTTTTTTCTTTATATAGTTTTCTCCTTTATGGGACCATACTAACAGTCTTTCAATATCCATGTTTTACAAGCATTTATAAAAACTCTCCCGCTTTAGCTGCTGGTTGTGCATTTCTTCTTCTTCTT